CCGCCGCGCCCCGCCCCGTGGCCGCCACGGCTGCTGGTATTGCTCCTCCGGCCGCCCGCTGCCGTCGCTTCAGCACCGGCCGCCCTCACCGCCCTCACCCCTCCCGGTGCCGCCGCAAAACCAGATCCGCGGCCGCCAAGCGAATCCGGTTCCGCGCGACACTACGTGCGCGCGCACGCCGACCGGAGGCAACGCGCTTTACGGCAACAGCGTGAGTGCGTGACGCTCGCTTTAGGCCTCAGTTCACACGTGGCGCTGGCGGAGGTTCGTTGTACGGTCTGTCTCTGCTGCTGGTGCCCTCGCGGCGGCCCCGGCGGCCAGTATGAAGCGTCCGAGTAAGTAGATTCGGGGCACGGGTGTGGAGGAGCCTCTGATCTGATGTTCGATGAGCTAACCGGGGCGCTCTTCTGCGACTCGAATGCGGAATGGGGGCCCTGAGATTAGGCCGTCGGCCCGCGACGGTTGGTAGGCCCGGCGGTGATCGGGCCAGTTGTGCCGCGGGTCGATGGGGCCCCAAAGGTGGAGGAAACCTGCGTCCGAGTTCCCGTCTGGCGTTTTCTGTCGTGGAGCTACGGGGTTGAGCTCCGAAATCCGCCTCGAAAGCACCGTTCGTCGCTACCATGTGATACCTGGTGTTGGGTAGAAGTGACTGTGTTTGATTCGATTTAATATGAAAAGAGTAGGAAGTTGGATTCTTCTTCGGGTCTATAAAATCAAATTCTCTGGAATTGGAGAATTTGTTTTTCTTGTATGCCTGTTGGGGGAAGGAATGCTGTCACATGTCCACTAGATTTTTAAACTAGGTTGAGATAATTGTTAATTTAAAAAGGTACGTGACCCCACAGCGTAGTCGAGGAAATAACTGGTGAATTTGTGTTATCTAATCTTTTGGTAATTTTTATTTTTGTAGAGTTAAAGAAAGCAAGTAAACGCATGACCTGCCATAAGCGGTATAAAATCCAAAAAAAGGTAAGTCTTGTGCTTGTTTGGGAGAGTTAGATCAAATAGAATGCTAGTGACTTTTGCTCTATTTGTCTATTAGGAGGTGTGCATCACTGTGATTCTGCTTAAGGAAATGGGGATTAGGGACAAGTTTTGAGACTTTGAGAGTACAGTGAAGTCTGAACTGTGATCATGGTATTAATCGCTGCTAAGAATTTCTTGGTGATTTTTTGCTGTTTATAGTGTGGCTGGCTATGCAAGTTCACTCTAGAAACTGCAATTTGATTTTCCTTTTTCTAGCACATTTCATAGATAGTTTTGTGGGTTTTTTTTTTTTTTTAAAGATTTTATTTATTTATTCATCTGGAACTGGGGTACAGGCCAGAGATGCAGAGGGTGAGAGGATTCACCAGAGACAGAGTGGGGAGCAGAACAGGCAGATCAACGAAGTACACTGCTGAGGGGAGCAGCAGGCGGGTCAGGAGAGGTCTGCCTCGCCATGTGGACTTCTCCGGGGCAGGCGGGAATCGAACTCATGTGGAAGTGGTTTAAGCTTAGTAGTGCAGTGCTTTAACCCGCTGCGCCACCAGGGAGGGCCTGTGGGTTTTTTTTACGGTAGTTGTTTACTATAGTATTTGTGTATGATGATAAAAAGATATTGTTTGGTTTTACAATAGGTTCGAGAGCACCACAGGAAATTGAGAAAGGAGGCTAAAAAACGGGGTCATAAGAAATCTAGGAAAGATCCAGGAGTCCCAAACAGTGCTCCATTTAAGGAGGCTCTCCTTCGGGAAGCAGAACTAAGGAAACAGAGGGTAAGATACATTTGGCTGAAACTTTTATGATGTGTGAGTATGTGTATTTCTTCCAACATCACAACATCAAGTCCTTTTGATTCACTCATTTCTCTCTCATGGCTTGAACACAGATTGAAGAATTAAAGCAGCAGCAGAAACTTGATAGACAGAAGGAACAGGAAAAGAGAAGAAAACTTGAAACTGACTCTGGTGTTAAGCCATGTGATGATGAACCTGTGAGGGAGGTATGATTAGATCTCTGCGTTCTGACATAGAAGTGAAAGCATGTACTTGCTAGGGGCTGCTCTACCTCTTGGGAAAAATAAGATTCTGTATTAACTATTTAAATATCAGCTGCACTGTACTGCAGCTCTGAAGTACTGGAAAATGGAGAAAAATGTCACCACTGCTGAACTTTTAACTTTGTATTCCCTCTATCTCCCTCTCCCCCCTTATCCTCTAGGATTTTGGGCAATGTGAAAATAAGAACAAAGCCAAATCCAGCAAACAGAATCCAAAGAGATTGTACTGTCAGGAACTTAAAAAGGTACCGTAGTCTAGGTCAGTGTCTAAAAATGATATGAACATTAAAAATCCAGTCATTACTTCTTGACTCCAACCTTAGAAACATTGCAGTAGAGTTTAATTGAGCTGGAAGAAGCCTTTAACAGGTTGTTTTGTTCTCTTTGAAGGGCATTTTCTGTTGCTTAACGAATATTTTGGTTTTAGATTTTTCCAGAAGGTTAGTTCCCTGTTATACCTTGTATTAAAATTACACATTGAAACTGGTTTTGGTTAGTTCCCTGTTATACCTTGTATTAAAATTACACATTGAAACTGGTTTTGGTTAGTTCCCTGTTATACCTTGTATTAAAATTACACATTGAAACTGATTTTATCTTTTTTTCTCATCTTCCCCTCCCCTGCCCCAATTCTTTTTTCAAATCTCTTTTCACACAGTGGTTTTTAGAGTAAATACATGAGAACAAACAGTATAAATTACTATGTTGAAATCTAAGTGAAGAAAGTCAAGAGTGTGTCATGGTATATAGTTCACCAGCACTCATGTCTCCATCACCTATTTTCCCACATTCATTCCCAAGTGAATAGACTATTCTCAGCATGAGCAGAAAGTCTGTCAAACTACTTAGGTCACTGTTGGAACATTGAAACTATGGGGTTATGTCTCATTTCAAAATTTACTTGGATGAAAGGCCAGAGACCATTGAACACACATATGTGAGAATGAATATATGAACATTTTCATACCAAAATGAAGACATAAGCTCCAGTTCTGAGCTCACCCTGTTGCATAGTAGATAATGCCACTGGATTTGTGTGGATGGTAGGAAGGAATGTTCTCAATAGTTTCTACCTTGACAGGTGATTGAAGCCTCAGATATTGTGCTAGAGGTATTGGATGCCAGAGATCCTCTTGGTTGTAGGTGTCCCCAGATAGAAGAGGCCATTGTTCGAGGTGGACAGAAAAAGCTGGTACTTGTACTAAATAAATCAGGTGAGCAAATGATACACATACCTTTTGTGTTCCATATGCACTAGTGAGGAATGAGGAAGATGTCTAAAGTCTTGATTGTTGTGAAGACTGATAAGATCCAACTCTGACCTCAACAAAGCCAGTGCATATTCTCTTGTTACCAATAACAGAGCTGGTTGGTGGGGTGGAAGTATTTTCTACATGTGATTTGACTGGCTTATATTTAATACTGCTTTTCGTTATTTGCTTGATATAAGCTTGTATACACAGCTTACTGTGTGTCCTATTTTCGGTAGAAATGACTATGGTATGCCTTATTTTCCACACTTAGAGAGTGGCAATATGTGACAATGTTTAGATGAAACACGGATGTATCTGGGTTGGAGCCACTAAAACAGGAAAACTCAGAGGAAAGATCTGTGAAAGATCTGTGAAGGGACAAGTATAGAATGGAATATTGGTGTGGCTCCAGTGAAGCAATTGGTTAGTGTGTGGTACTTATAAGAATGGGAAATAATACGGTGGGAGGATTAGAAAAGGGGGTTAGTCACATGGCTTCTGGCATAGGGTCAATTCTGCAAATAGCACCCAAAGATTAATAGGGTAATAATCTAGAGATTGGTTTAATTCTGAAACAGGGTGAACAGTGCTGATGGGAATTGATAGAGGTAAAACTATTTTGCCCTTAATAAGGGTAAATGGTAGGGCACTTATTCTCCCCTATATTCCAGTTACATGTTTTGGGGGGAGGAAAAAAACAGTGAAAAGGCAAGTAAGTGTGAAATGCAGATTTTGTAAATTCATTGCAAGAACATGATCAAATTGATGCACCTTATTCCTAATCCCTTTCAGATTTGGTACCAAAGGAGAATTTGGAAAACTGGCTCGGTTATTTAAAGAAAGAATTGCCTACAGTGGTGTTCAGAGCCTCAACAAATATGAAAGACAAAAGGAAGACAATTAAGGTACCTTTTACACAGTTGGACTGGACTAGACTAGACTACATAGTTCTTTCAGATTTTTGATGGCTGAAATATGATGAGTGTACCAAATCTTGATTAAAGAAAAATGAAAATTTGTAAGATCCAACTCTGATTTCATCCAGAGATAATCTGAAAGGCAAACACTATGGTGGTTTTAATAGCTGGGACCTGAATGCCAGATGGCCTGGATTTTATCTGGTGACTTGTCAGAAGTAATTACTTGGGATTTTATCATACAAAGGTAAAGAAGAAAGTGCGTTCATTCAAGAGTGAAGTCTGCATTGGGAAAGAATCTCTTTGGCAGCTTCTTGGAAGTTTTCAGGAATCTTATGGCAAAGCCATTCAGGTTGGAGTAATTGGTGAGTTTCAGTTCAGTACATCTTAAGTTTCACCTCTTAAATACCAATAATTTCCCCGTGTTGACAGTATGGAAGTCAGTACAAGGGCTCACTCAAAAGAGCTTGTTTGACTCTTCACCATACAGAAATGTAAAGAAAAAAATTAAAGTAATTGCTTCATAATTCACTTTTTGCCAACTGATCACTGTGGGAAATTGACTCCTGAAAGTTCTTGGTTTATTTGAATTAGTCCTCCCTTCCTGCTCTTTCATTAACCTATACAAGAAATGAAGATGCTAAAATTGATCTTAGTGTTCAAGTGCTGACACTCAGATCCAACTCTGATCTTGTTCTAAACATCATGTAAAGTATAAAATAAGGTGGTGGGAATTTTACTGTTGCCAGTACTTATATAATGCTTTTGTATCTGAATTTTGTTTGTAGGTTTCCCAAATGTGGGGAAAAGCAGCATCATCAATAGCTTAAAACAAGAACGGATATGTAATGTTGGTGTATCCATGGGGCTTACAAGGTACATCAAGTTGTTCGATAAATCATTGCTTTGTCAACATTTCATTGTAGATGAGTAAATGCTTTGTTTTGAATATCCTAAGAAAGGTAATCCTTTCTGTAGAATTGTCATTCAGAGGAGGAGGGTCAAGTCACTGCTAAGCTTGAAGATGAATTGATTAGAGTGGAAAAGTTGCCTCAGAGGAAGTGATTGGACCTGGCATTGAAATGACTGGAAGTCTGCCAGTTGGTAGGGCAAACAACATGTGTTGATGTCAATATATAAGCCATGACACATAGTGTTCTTTTATAAGGAAAAAGTGCACTGTGAAGCTTTTAGATAAAACATGAAGCAAATGATGATAAACTGGGTCTGACAGACTATGCTGAGTTTGTTCAATCCAACCCTGAGCTTCATGTTGTCCTTGTCCTTTAGATGAAGCAGTAAACCATCAATCACTGTATCTCTGATTCCAGGAGCATGCAGGCTGTCCCTTTGAGCAAGCACATCACAATCATAGACAGCCCAAGCTTCATTGTGTCTCCAGTGAACTCTGCTGCTGCACTAGCTCTGAGAAGTCCAGCAAGTATTGAAGTGCTAAAGCCAGTGGAGGCTGCCAGTGCCATCCTCTCCCAAGCTGATGCTCGACAAGTAAGAGAACTCCATGCCTTCTTCCTACTCCCTTGCACTCCATTTTCTCTCTTTTTTTTATTCATTTATTCATACAGAACTGGGGTACAGGCCAGAGATGCGGAGGGTGAGAGGATTCACCAGGGACAGAGTGGGGAGCAGA